CTGCATGTGGTACCTGAGTGGAGGCCTTGGCAAAACTGAGGTGTTGGAAGGACTACTTTTTGTTTCTTCGCTGTTTCCTTAGCCACCCTCAATCACGTTCCCTCCTACTCAGTTTGCCAAGGGTATTAACTACCACAGGTCTGCATAATGGCTTCTTGGCTAGTTGGCCACTGTCTTTTTACTGGTGCAGCTTGTTGTTTCTTCCACTTACAACTCCTTAGGCTTGCAAACTGCTTGAATGCAGAGTCCCTTCATAACCCTTTGTAAGAGATGATTTTTCAAAAGCCTGAGGAATGTAAGAAATAAAAGCTCTGCAAGATGTTCTAGATGATCCAAAGTGGCTTCTGTACTTTCTCCTGCCCCACTTTGAAGAGCGTGACATGATACATGCCCTACAAGAGCATGGTGTATCTCAGTTACTTTTCTCAGCAACAGAAGAGGGCTGCAACTCTGCGCTGAAGTCAAATCCTACAGACCTCTCCTGCTTCTATGCAGACTTAGTGAGAGAAACAAGGAACGGTTCTACATAAAATACAGGCATTTTCTGTAGATCCTAATTAAACAAGTCAAAATACATTGCAGCATGCTTCATAACCCTAAGGTACATCTATATGCCTTTTGTAAGGTGCTACATGCTCATGTGTTTTGGATTAATGTAATTTTGACTGTTAATAAACCATTTCTTAAACATGCTAAAAGCTAACTAATAGAAATACAAAATAATACAATTCTTCCACAGCAATCAGGGCGTCATTACAAAAAAACTATACATATTTTTAGAATTCAAGTTTGAGAAAACCCTATTTGTACAGTTTTCAAGATATTTCAGTTTAGTAGAGAGCTGAGTTGTACATCTTCCTCAGCCTAAGTCAAATTTCTAAGTAAAACTAGGCTTTTTTGCTTTCAAATTTAAGATAAATTGGTAGTTTGTTTTACAGATGACCAACTGAAGATGAACTACATCAGTCATAACCCCCCAAAAAGTAACTGAATGCTACATTTACCCACACAAGGGATGAAAAAGCTACAAGGCAAGTCTGTTTGAATCAATTTTTAAATTTATTCTTATTTAATTTATTGCATTCAAAATATAAATACAATCTCTTAAATGCTGAACACAGTTAGTTAAAACCACTGCTAAGAGAGACTGAATTTCTGAACATAGGCACAACTTCACTAGTTTTACTAGAATTACGGCTACTTTTACAGCAGTGAACCTCATGGGTTGAATCACAAGCTCACACCATCAAAACATTTCTGGTTATTTATGATTGCTGGAGGAATTAAACACTCTTTTAATGTTTTACAAATTCATCATGTTTCACATTTATAAATACATACAATTTCAGATCAGAACTTGTGCCGTTCCCAGAGGATCTATCTGTAGTACTGCTCCCCCTCCCAACAGACTGCCCCCAAACTGAACTTGGCTCATATCTTCTGCATATGTAAAATAAGGAGCGCAATTACAAGGCAAGGTTTAATGCTGGAGATTTTAGATGAGGAACAGAAGCCAAACAGGAAAATTGTCTTATCTTTAGCCACCTTTCCCATCCACACACAAAGCATCTAACATGCTAAGTATTAGACTGTCATATTGCCTAAACCACTGAAAAAGTAAGGTTTTTTTTTAAAAAATACTTGTAATATAAAAATAATTTTTATGTTTCTATATACATGCCATTTCCCTAGCAAAAACTGGTCTCTGCTATTCTTGAGCATCTTTTTCAGAAGTCGTTTTTGCATAACTACATTCCAGTGTAACTGAATCACTCTTAAAATCAACTACTGGAGACCCTCACAGACTTGCAGAAATTCTGCTGCTGTGAGGACAAGAGAAATACCACAACTAGGTGATTTACTTCTCCCACTGTCTCCTAAACAGCAAAATATGGGCTCCTGCACTTTGTCCCTTCAACTGCTTTCCTGATTTTACTGTCTTGACTCCCTTGTAGATTGCCCATTAACACAGGAGGAAAACAATACTATTGGTAAAAGAGGTTCTGATTGTCTTAAGTATCTAATTTTGTGGCTTTCTTGGTTGTGAATGTATTTTGGTTAAAGAACAGCTCTACTTCAACATCTAAGATTTTTCTCAATCCTTAGCTATCTAAAAAGAAAGTAAATTTTGGCTTCAAATAAATACAACTCACTATGAAACCAGACATCTTTCTTCTAGTTCTGTACTACCCTATGGCTGAGATGCTTGATGTAATGACTGGTAATCAGCTACGCATTGCTTCAGCAGCATAATCAGCACACATTGTCAATCACTGCGCTTCTAAATTTTCAAAAGTGTGAGATCCCATAAAATAAATCCTTAAAATTTGTTTGCACCCTCTGTGATTTCTCCTAATCTGAAAACTGAAGGATTGTACTGAGCTTTTCTCTTTATTAAAATAAATAAATAAAACTGCCTCTGCTCTCTGTCTCTGGTAGTCTCTACTCATTCAAGTTATTCACTTGAATGTTCAGAATAATAGGCAGAAGCAATAGACTACATCTGTTAGAACATACAAAGCCAATTTAATCACTGACTAAGGAATAAATTACTGTAATGTAAAATAGGCAGCCAACTTTGCTTTCAGAAACTTGACTCCTATTCATATTCTTCTTCCATTTCTAGGCCTGTTACTGAAAACAGCTGTTGATAAAAAGGAAACCTGCATAGAAAAATTTTTATTAAAACATCTTCATGCTTAAAATACAGTAACAATTTTCTTCCATTTTAACACATATTCTTTATTTCTTCAGCTGTTCACTGGGCTTCATCAGCCTATCCTCATTGAAAGCATAAAAACCCGTTTCACTGAACACAAAATAAGGACAGATATTCTAGAGGTGTCAGAGCCCTTATAATGGGTGTCGGGAACACAGACCTCTTAATCTTTTCTACAGTTTCTAGTGCTGTACAAACATCATCCTGTGCCTTGTGCTCCTTTTGACCTGTTTCTCCAGCACTTTAGTGCCTCTGTGCAGGTTTAAACTGGGATTTTTAGAAAGCAATGGAATATTTTTCTCTGCATACATCTGTATCACAACCTCTTAATTAGTCAGTCCCAGCAGTTGTAAAAAAAGACTTAAACATGCAAAGTCATTATGCATGTAGTCTTTATAACTGGGAAGGATAAATAGGGTATACTTCACACAGCTTCCTCTATCATGATATCTTCATTCATCCCTCAGAGCAGTATTGCTAGGGTTTTCATACTTGCCTCATGCCAGTACTAGAAAGGAGTGGACCCTAGCATTTTGGAAAAAGCATAGCTCCTGAAACTGAATCCTTATAGTTCTTGGTGACAAAACATCACCTTGTGAAATTCCAGCACTGCTGAGGAAACAAGGAAGATAGAAAAGATGGGAAAAGGAACGAAGGAGTTTCAAGAGAACTGCAGAATACACAAAACCAAAAAGGAGGTTGACATTTTCTGCCTATGAAGACATTAAAGGCTGCTCAATGCCACTGTTTTTAACTGTCTTAAACAGTATTTTATGTATGACTGCATTTGATGTCATATTTGTTCTACCTCTTCGCTTGAGGAATGAGAAAGAAAAGTCATCACTGTTCAGAGTTCAGCTACAGTGGCCAGTGTTAGAAGAGCCAATATTGCAGGGGAACAATTTTAATCTTTTTTTTTTTCTTTTTTTTTTTTCTGAGAGTTCATTACTGGTGGTTGGATTGTATTTATACAACTGGCCCGAAAATATTAGGGCTCCTAAGTATTACACTGTTAACTCTGCCACTGCTAGCACTGGTAAAGTATAGGGATAATTACAGTCTCACCTGAGAAAATGATGCAAACATTAAAAGCTCAATGTCAGATTTTAAAGAGAATTCAGGTTCCTAGCAACACAGACAGCAATCTTTTGAAAGCCTCTGCTATGTACCTGCCAGCACTACTGGGTGGCTAAATATTCTTAAAAATTTAACCATCCTCCAGCAGATCTGAACAATTCTGCAACCTGAGATTAGGCTTTCAGCTGCTGGAGTTTTAAGATGCTAATTTCATTTATTGCAAAGATCAATCTTGGGGTATTGCCACAGAAGACCCCAGAGCACTGTACCAGCATGCTAGCCATCTGTGCTGCTGTGGTTACACCAATGTGTGTATCTGAAGCAAATTGGTGGTCCTTTCTATTGTTTTAGTAATTCCAGGATTTTCAGTTAAGAAAGACAAAAAAACTCAAACCAATAAATCTACACACACAATTACATGCAAATTTAAGTAAAAGCTGAGTATCACAGAAGATCCATTTTGGTTTGCTATTTTGGCACCTGTGTGATTAAAATGCCACTAAAAACTATGGAAAGACACCTGATGACTTAACTGAGCTTTGGATCAGCTGTAAGAGCATTTCTTTATCTATGCACTGAGACTGTTATATACAACAGTTAATTAAGTTACAACACTGAAGAAATGCCAAGAATGCTTATTTTTGCTAACAAGAGCAACTAGCTTTCTTACATATAATATCATTAAACAACTAAGCTAAGTAATATCCCCATCAATCAAAGCAAATTTTTATAAATAAACTACAGATGCACCTTTACAAACTAAAGAAATAAAAAAAAATAAGTAAATATAAAAAAATATATATTACTAAATTACATCTTCAGTGAGACACTACCTGTACAGCAACCTGCACCAGCAAAATCCTCAGCACTCCACTCTCAACACTGTGTGTGAAAGTAGAGTTCATACTGCATTTTTCAAGCCCCCACCCCACATCTTGTGCCTTCTACCTAGGAAGCCCAGAGTTTGTAAACTCAGCCTGCTCCTCACCCAGCTGCGGAATGCTGAGCAGGAAACAGGATCTTGCACTGTGAATTAGGAAGGTATGCTAAGTATCACATCAAAAAGTACTTGGTAAAGTTGTTCGAATGCCTTAACATAAAGGTTCAGGTATAATTTAGGAACAATGTTATTCACCTCTTAACCCAGTAGCTAACCTATGCTAAGCTAAACAAGAAACGTGTGGGCTTCTAAGTCACTATTTGTCTATGCTTTCAGTGCCTTCTTGAGGTCAGAGTAGAAATTGGCCAGGGTACTAGACATGGCAGTGTCTACTGCAGACTGTGGCAGCAACCCTCGCAGTTCAGTCTGAATATAGCCTGTCAAAAGACTGTGGCCAGGATAGTCCTTAAGAGGGACACAGAACCAACCGCAAGGGTGATTGAATCCACGGACAAAGTTAGGTCTCACTTCTCCATAGTCTAGGCTTACACCTATGAAAGAAAATAAACAAACAAAAAAGGCAAATTAATTTGGACACACACAAAAAAATAAAGGTACAGGAAATTTAAAAGGTATGAGTTTCTGCTTGTGGAACGTAGTAGAAGTGACAGACACACTTAGAGTTCCTTTGTACTTTCACACATGAAAGTTGTCTACTTTTCATTCAAACTCCACAACAGACAAGCAGGGCCTGATAAGCAGAAATTCTGACATTTAAGACATTCCTCCCATTTACTAGCAAGCTGAGCAACTTGTAACTCTACCCAGGTTGCCATAAGAGCTGAGTCAGAGCACTAAACTTGTCTCTAACACTCCTGTCCGACAGTTGGCATAAGTGAGATTTGGCACACAGAGAGAGCTCATGGGTAAACCAGTAACTTTATAATTCTTCAAACATGTAAAATGTTAAAATACCTTTGAAATACTTTTAGAGACCATCTTACGCCCCTTTTGCACACTTACTGCAGCACTTAATGTGAAACAAATCTTAAGGCAATCAGCTGTTGCAAAGTATGAATAAAGCAGAGGTAAGTGGTACCTTACCACATGTTAGAAGCCCATCTTCATAGCTAGTAGTGTAGGAGAAATCAACAAACTCCCTTGGTGCTACGATGTTCCAGAGCTGACCAGCCGTGGTGTAGCGCATCACACAGCAGTTCTTGTTGAGTGACAGAATAAATGAGGAGAGTAAGAAAACAAAAATACCTTTGTATTATGAATACGGGAAATATTCACTTGTAGGTGGCTAGCCTTTCCCACAAAGGCTGCAGCCTCTGTCAACTAAACTGTGCAAGCAACTTCAGTGAGGTCTGAACGGCTGTGCTGTTTTCAGTCTAAATCCTGGCATTTTGCAAGGACTTCCCGTCTACAAGTGAGAGCTGCAGGGGCAGACAACATCTGGCACCTTTAAATGATACTGACTAGAACTAAAGAACTGTGTCATCATGTCTGGGAACTGAAAGCCACTTGGATTTTATGTGGCTTAATCATTACTTATGAAGTCTCCAAGGATTATCAGTACCTTGCAAGAGGCCTCTTTATGTACCAAGATGCTCTGTCAGGTACTTTTAATCCATAAATTCTTAATAAAAGAGAATATCAACAGTTCTTCAAAAAAAGGCTTTCTTATGAAACAACAGAGTTTGCATAGATTTTAGTGAATAATTAGCAAAACTACTTTGCCTTGTAAAATTTCCTGAAGAGTCAGAGCAAAAGGCAATCCATGTTCAGGTGAAATGTCCATAGGGTTTGTAGTCATACTGAATGACGCAGTAACCAAAAGAAGGCTACCATCTCTTTCCTTATCAACTTCAAACCTACCTTTCTTTATTAAGTCCTGCCTCTCAATATGAAGTATTTTGGCTCCCATCACAAAGCCCTGGCCGACAGTGAAGCCAGCCTTTCAGGACAAGGGAAAAGCTGCAGCTTCTGCATATGTGGATTATTAATACCCACCATTTTATTTCTCACATAACAGAAGAAAGCAAACTGTACAAAAAGGCTTTGGCATATAAAATACCACACTGTAATTCCCTATACATGAATTTTATCAGAGGCTACCAGAGATCCCAGGTCCCAGAGAATTGTGACTGACCAATTATTAGTCTTTTATTTCTAGCATTAGATGGATACCTAAACTAGAAGCTTCAGGATAGGACTGTGCAGCCAGAAAGCTTTATCTGAGGTCACCCACCACATGTAAGCACAATATCCTGTGTGCATACAGAAAATGGGCAGAAAAATGGTTGTATTTGTTGGAATGACTGCTCTGCTGTACTGTTAAATTAATGTATGCATCTGTACACATTTCCCTTAAAAACCTAAACAAGTCTTCACCTCTTCAAATGTTTCCATGATGTCCATTGTAGTCATTAAGCTGTCCCAGTCTAGCCTATAAGGTCCAGGGCGAATGTGATCCACTATTCTGTTAGCAACATCTTCCACCACTCCTTGAGCTTTGTAGCTAGGGAAACATATATTTACATTTAAAAGTGAGAAATTCTCCATAAATATTCCATTAATCTGCAAATGCATGTTTACTATAATAATTTGATACCTGGAGTTATGGTCAGTAGACAGTGGTATCAGAAAACCAGTAAAGAAAGAGACCTATAAGGGCATCCATCTCTGCAACAAATGTTATTCTGAGAAACTCTATCCTTACACTGCAATTGGTATTTTGTAAATGGCAAACTCCTTCTTCAGATAAAAATCAGCCCATTTATTCCTCTAACAACTTGTAATTTTGTTCTTCTCACTGGGTGAGTAAGGGAGTCCACCAGGGAAGGGTAAAGCTAAAAGCAGTAAGAAAGGAGAGCTGGAATACAATGGGAAAAACATTTTTCATAAAGTAGAAGTAACAGTAGTGGAACCCACCTAATAAGAAACTACCTTATGCTTTGGGGGCATATAAGAATACCAAATAAAACAATTTGGTATAAGACATTACAGAACATTCATTTTTTATCAGGTATTTTTAGTAAACACCAGATATTTTGTTTATTTGAGTAACGGGGCCTCCAGCTCCTGAAAGGGGGGGAAACTATCTAGACCAAAGTTTAAAAAAATATTTCTATAAATAGACTACCCTGGAGTCTTCACCTGCACTCAGCAGCCACTGACCTCTTGGCAGTGTGTCAAGTTACACAACCTGTTGATGCCAGTGTACCTGTGACCCTGCTCAGAGTTAGCAGACTCTTGGTTTCTGGTGTCATCAGCTCTTGCAGGTTTAACAGGACTTAAATTCCACAGAGCACTATCTGTCTTTGAGATATGTTCAAACACTACCTTTTTGCATGACTTTTTGCGTCTTCAGAGTGCTGCTGTCAAGTAACTATTTCTCTAGCTAAACCTACAGATACCATCAGAACTCAGAGACAGAAACTCACCACGTCTTTCCCACAACTACATGCTTGACATTTTATACTATTGCAGTTGCACAGTCACTGTAACAGTCCAAGCACTGACTGGGTGGTCACCCAGTAAGAGTTCAGACCTACTGAACCTGGACTTCTGTAGTTTGCAGACAATCTTTCTAAAAGGTCTGGGCATATGCTGTCACCCACTTCAGTCACTTTTGTGGTGTGTTCCCTAGTTTTCATTCTTTGCTGTTCTAGACAGCATTCAATGCTAAAGCATTAAAGTATAAAACTAAAAAGAAATGCATTCACTTAGCTTCTCCTCTAGAGAATCTGTGTAGCTGAGGATTATAGAATCCACAACCTTCATTTTTAAACTCTTCAAAACACATTTGTGGAACCTTAAAAATGTATCTGTTCTGCAGGCAAACTTACAGGTATCCACTGAATTCCTCTGATGGTTTACGCCACACAGTTGCATCTTTCTGAAAGGAAAGGGAAGGAACGCAATGTTGACAGTTAGATACAATTATGAAATGTTGAGAAAATGCTTCAGATTTTCTGAAGAAAAGCAAATTACTTCACTATTAACTCTGGTTCAGCCCAAAGTGCTCACTGACCTGGGCTCTTCAGTATATTTTTGTTAATAACAGAAGCAGATGTTTCAGACTTCTTTCACTCGTAATTTTCCATTATTTAAAAAAAAAATAAATCAGTCAATTACTTTCTCAGTGTCAAAAGCCAGAAGCCTGGGCAGAAATACGGCTTGGCACGCCAAGCCAGTTTACTATGAAAAATATAGGACAATGAAACCAAACTACTAGGTAAATCCTTTCAATTAAAAAGGCAACTGGAAAGCCATGAACTGGACACTATTCAGACAGGAAGACAGCACAACTTCTACTTGCATGCCTGTAACACACGACCAAGCACATGTGTGAAGCAGTGCTGGCAGTGGTAGATAAGAAGGCCTAAGTTACCCTTCCCTCATAGATTCTTGACTAGAAATGTCTTGCAAGCAGCAGTCTATTTGTTTCAAACTTAGACAGAGAAAACAAAGAAAATGATATCTTCTGATTTTTATCTAAGTATGAAATGGAACCTCTGTATAAAATCTCTGAATTTTGGTGCTAAAGAGAGTATTATATAGCACCTTTTTAGTTGGAATTATTATTATATATGCACAAAGGACCAAACAGTAGCATAAGTACTGTATGCAGAAGGGAGGAAAGAATGGAGGAAGGGTGGAAGGGAGGTGGGGAGGAAGAACATTTGACCCTCTATTACCAACATCTCTTAGTAAAAAACCAAAAGATACAAGAGTCACCCAAACCATTGTAACAAAAGGGTAAATTCCTACCACGTTACTACACTGAGATACCAAAATACGTTTCTCCTTCCTATCCAGGACTAAAAAGTATCCACCATGCCTAGAACTGATGCACCAGCAAAGTTTATTTAGGTTGACAAAGCAAGACTTAAAAAATCCAAAGAAGGGTACAGCAAACTGCTTGGAGAAAGCAGGAACTGCATTCACTTTCATTTCCCTCCTCAAACGTCACAATGTGGGGGCTCCAAAGGCAATGGAAAATGAAACAATATGAGAGAAAGAATTAAGAATGATCCCACTTTTTAAGAGGGAGATACTTGGAAGCTGGAGCATGATGGGCTCAAGCATTATAGACAAAAAGATTCTAGAGGCCAGCACAGCCTACCTACAAGTCAGCATCTCACAGCAGTGCTGGCGCTAACAGTGTTACACGTTTTGCTGTAAGAAACGCATTTATTCTACAGAGGTGGGATTCTTCTATGTGAAGGATCCCTTAAAACAAACAGAAGGGATGGCAGGCTAGGTTTGCAGGCAGCACAACCCATCGCTACCTAAACGTGGCCCTTCCTTGAAGGGTGGTGTCACAAGTTAGGGAAGTCCCGCAAGAACCCGCCACGTTTCCCACCCACGCCGCACAGGCTCTGTCCTGCCACGAGTGGCTCCCCAGCTCCCCCCCGCGCCCCCGGCGGGGCCCGGA